AACTAGGCACAAGAGAAAGCGGTGAGCTGAAGTTAGGGAAATTTGGAGTAGGGCAACGGAACCGAAGGGGCCAGCAGCTGGCCGACTTTATGGAGAAAGAGGGACTCTTTATGATGAACTCTTTCTTCCAGAAGCGGCCCCACAGGAAGTGGACCTGGTCGAGCCCCGACGGTTCGACAAAAAATGAGATTGACTTCATTATGACGACCAGACGCCAACTGTTCAGTGATGTCTCAGTGATCGCAAGGGTGAAAACTGGCAGCGATCACCGAATGGTTAGAGGCACACTGAACCTAAACGTTAAGTTGGAGAGGTCTCGTCTAATGAAGTCAACGCTCCGTCCCCCTCGTGCTCTGATCCAAAATCCCGAAAACTTTCAGCTCGAGTTACACAACCGCTTTCAGTGCCTACAAGATTGCAATGCAGTGGACGATATGAATGACAAGCTCGTGGAAACTGTCCATGCGGTCGGAGCTAAGTTCTGCAAGACCCGCCGCAGAAGAACACAAAAACTCTCCGATCACACTCTTAATCTCATGGCTGTTAGACGGGAGATGAGGCTGCAATCGTCAACAGATTTGACAGCATACAGGCAACTGAACAGACAGATCTCCAAATGCATGCGGCGAGACTTACGCAACTTTAATACTGCTCGTATTAAAGAAGCGATCGAGCGGAACCAGGGCTCCAAAGTCTTTGCCAGAGATCTGTCTGCCAGAAAGAGCCAACTGTCAAGGCTGAAGACTGAGTGTGGCAGCATCGTTTCCGGGACACCTGAGATTTTGAGTGAGATTGAGAGGTTCTATGGGCAGCTGTACACATCATCGTTGGAGCCACACGCAAGTGTGAGTAACGATCCAAGAGCAAGTCTTATCCGACACTATTCCGATGATATCCCGGACGTCAGTCTAAGCGAGATTAGAATGGCTCTCCAGCACCTTAAAAACGGCAGGGCCCCAGGCGAGGATGGAATTACAGCGGAGCTTCTGAAAGCGGGTGGAACACCGGTACTTGAAGTCCTTCAGAAGCTCTTCAATTCCGTCCTCCATGGTGGCACTACTCCAGAGGCGTGGAGCAGAAGTGCGGTGGTCTTGTTCTTTAAGAAAGGCGACAACGCTCTCTTGAAGAACTACAGACCGATTTCCCTTCTGAGCCGCGTCTACGTGCTGTTTTCGAGAGTCATTACGAATCGTCTCGCACGCAGACTCGACGACTTCCAGCCTCCCGAACAAGCCGGTTTCCGAAAAGGCTTCAGTACCATAGACCACATACATACCCTGCGGCAGATTGTACAGAAGACTGAAAAGTACAATTTGCCACTTTGCCTGGCGTATGTGGACTATGAGAAAGCCTTTGATTCCGTCGAAATTTGGGCGGTGCTGCAGTCCCTTCAGCGGTGCCAAGTTGACTGTCGGTATATCGAAGTGCTGAAGTGTTTGTACAGTAGGGCTACGATGGCTATCCGAGTACAGAACCAGAGCTCGAAACCTATCCAACTGCAGAGAGGTGTAAGACAGGGTGACGTTATATCCCCGAAACTCTTCACCGCTGCTTTGGAAGACGTTTTCAAGCTACTGGACTGGAAAGGATACGGTATTAACATCAATGGCGAGTACATCACTCACCTTCGATTTGCCGACGATATAGTCCTTATGGCAGAATCGCTGGAGGACTTAAGCACTATGCTCAATGACCTCAATAGTGCCTCCCAACGGATAGGTCTTAAGATGAACATGGACAAAACAAAGATTATGTTTAATGTCCATGTCACACCTATGCCGGTAGTTGTTGGGAGCACTATGCTCGAAGTTGTTGACGAGTACGTTTACCTGGGACAAATATTCCGACTAGGTAAGTCCAACTTCGACCGAGAGGTCAATCGACGGATTCAACTCGGCTGGGCAGCGTTCGGGAAATTACGACATATCTTCTCGTCAGGTATACCTCAATCTCTGAAAACTAAAGTGTACAACCAGTGCGTGTTGCCAGTGATGACTTACGGATCAGAGACGTGGTGCTTCACTGCTGGCCGTATGAGGACGCTCAAGGTCGCTCAGCGAGCTATGGAGAGGGCTATGCTCGGAGTTTCTCTGCGTGATAGACTCAGAAATGAGGATATCCGCAGTAAAACCAGATTGACCGACATAGCCCAACGGATTAGTAAGCTGAAGTGGCAATGGGCCGGCCATATAGCTCGAAGAACCGATAACCGATGGGGAAGAAAGGTTCTCGAGTGGCAGCCTCGTACCGGTAGGCGTAGTGTAGGGCGACCCCCCACTAGATGGAGTGACGACCTGGTAAGATATGCAGGAAGTCGATGGATGCAGGTGGCTCAGGACCGTGCTTTGTGGCATTACTTGGGGGAGGCCTATGTTCAGCAGTGGACTTGTGAAGGGCTGTGATGATGATGATGATGATGAAACAAAACCTGTGCCGTTTGGAAGGGGTTGTGACCGCTTGGAAGGAAAAGGAGAGATTTCCCGCCACTCAAGGTGTTCTGCCCAACAGCAGCCAACTCTCCGTGTGATTGTTCGGAGCTATTCCATATATACTATTTTACTTTGGAACTTTGATAGCGCGATTTAGGCTTCGATGTGTTTCGCTTGTGGAGCGACGACAGCGCCGTCACAGGTTATAAGATCACTCTATATCGTCCCGTGGGTGTTACAGGAAATAACTATGGAATTCCAGAAATATGTCATTTCTTCCGAAAGATACAACCAAATCGGTATAACCAAATTACCAAATTGTACACAACAGATATTTTTATATCTACCCAACTACTCCAGTCGGTGGTAGGGGCATTCGCCAAACTGCGAAGCGTGGTGATTATAGAAAATCTGTCCTATTATAGGAGAAAAATAACAGACAGCTAGACAGCTATATGTATCCTCGATTAGGAATCAAAATGCGTCCAGTAAAAATATTCATGATACGAAACACAACAGCTATTTATATGTTACACCGGTATTCCGACATGTATATAATCAAAGGGTATTCCTATGACCCATTTTTATATAACCACAATATAGCTGCAAAGTGACATCACGTAATATAATAAGAATCTGTCTTTAACTCATTGTACCATCGGTGAATGGTTGTAAATGGTTTACGATAAATCGAAAATTGATACATAAGTAAAGGCGTCAATACGTCAAATTATTGATATTGAAAAGCTTTAGCGCATCGCAGTTTTAAAAAACAGTGATACTTTAGGAGTAATATACTCTAGCATAAAAAAATGACATATAAATTATATACAATGTCATAGTTTAATCATTTATTACGTGTTTAGTTACTTTGTTGTTCTTATCATATGACCGTATTTTAGCATTATCTTGGGGAAAATTATCTTAATTCCTTTTTTAAATAATTGTTTAAATATGTAACAAATTAATTTCTGTATACATTATGTAGTGAATAAAACAATTTCAATATTTTAAACAACATTATAATTATTCTAAGCAGCTTGAAAATTCCATTAGTCCGTAACACTCTCTCTCTCTCTCTGTCTCTCTCTCTCTCTCTCTCTCTCTCTCTCTCTCTCTCTCTCTCTGACAATACGAAGCGATATTATGAATATTCTCAAATTAAGTAAAGTGTTTAAGTGCTGATTTACTTGGCTAGGTGGTGAAGTAAAACATCGTGAGGAAATCTGCAACTCTTAGAAATAAGAAACTCTGGGGCAGTCGAGTGAAAAAAGAATTACTAAAGATCCTCTTATAGTATATAGTATAATATGCTCCTCTGGAATTAAAAATAATTTATTTAATTTAAAATATCTTCTTTGCTCTCTTAAATAACGATAATCTTAACAAACAGTACTAATGCAAAAGTATGTAAGGCAGTGGAAAAATATTAAAGTTAATAATAAAAAATATATAGTTAATTCATATTCAATTGGTAGATATCGTCGCTGATATTATTTTTAATAAGATAAAGCACTTCAAGTTTTTGTTTACGTCATAATCTATACCGTGTTGTCGTCGCCCGGACGAATACGAGGTCTTACTTATCAAGTTCCGAGATACATAGAATAATTTTACATACACGTTCTGTTTTATATAGGTACAAGTACCCTTGTACTTCTTGTATCTACCTCTACATATTGAATCTAATCTGACCTATTGATTCTTATTTTAAGCGTCCATTTATTTGCCTTTATTGTATGAAGAAATAATTAAAATAGTTTTTCTTTATTTCATCCTTACAAAGGAATTAAAGATTTATATTGTAAAGTTCGCTCAGAAATGAGAGCAAACCTGTGTTCAGCGGTGGGATGGACGTATTCGTATAAAAGACGTGATCTCTGAATAGCTAAATTTTTACTATTTTGCATTGTCGTAATCACCAATATAGTTAATTTCAGTGCGGTTACTTTAATTTATTGAAATTGCTTAGGAAGCAATTACTTATCTGTAAAAACAATTTGTTAATTAAGTACGCAGTTCTGGAAAATAAACTTACGCGTGTAATTATCGTTCAAACAAACACGTATTTAAACAAAGAGGTACCATTCATAAAGGAATTTATTTGCAATTAACGATTATAAGGAATACTTTTTTTAAAGAATACGTTGACAAACGAACACATAGTACACACACTGAGTGCTGTGGTTTATAGACATCTATCCAACATTAAGAATCATGAAGAATTACATTTAAGTGTAAACGAAGCGTTCCATCTTAGTACTCAAAGCTGACAATGTGTATGCGTTTTCACCCTTGAGAACTAAGATGGAATGATTCGTTTTCACTCAAAAGGTCTCCGGTTCTCTACACTCACCATAAGAAACACAGCAGCATAAAGCTGGCATTTAACGCTGGTAATTTACGCTTTTATTCTGTGAGAACGTGGTCTTTCCTTTGTCGAGCCGACCGCAACATATGAACATGATATAGCTGCGGCATGGCTCTACCACGTATAGAACTACTGTATCTCTTCCAATATAAATATGTAATTTTTACCAATTGCACCAATACTTTAATTGTGAATTTTACCTTTATTGATTCCCAAGCTGACTGTGCATGTGATATTTGTAAACTGGATATCGACTAGATCCCTCTTTGGGATTTTCGCGACGACTTGCGCGTCTTGAGAGGATGAGCCTTCCTTGATAGCTGGTGTCACACTTGATTTCACTGTTTCTGGCATGTTTTCCGGCCGGTAGGCCACACTGTGATCGTCCACGATTTGCGCCCCGGCCAATATCATTGCGATGAACGTACGCTCTCTTTTCGCGGGTACAAAGCGTGTGCGTTGTGCGAACGAATACGCGATAATGCGCGTGCGCCTTGTCACCGACCGGACTGAACTATCGGAAACCTTTTGTTCAACAAATAATTACATCGCGCTTGACACCTACTGTCGCATTGATCTCTATATATAATCTTTATTATAACTTATTTCTTTGAAAATTGTCCGATACGGCAGTGCCGAAAAATATTTCTCAGGTGAACTTTGTACTGATACACTGTGTACACTGTACATATTAATGTCTTGAACATATACTGAAACGAAATTTGCAGGTGTTTTATATCTTTATAATCTTTAGATTTTTCCGAAGAAATTATTATATTTGATAAAGTATGAAGAAAAAATTCAGCATTAACTTTTCGGATTGTTTTATTCTGTGTGTAACCTACCGTGTATAAAAAACGTAGGTAAACTTAACCAGATTTTTTTATAGGATAGTGTGACAGACGAGCACACAGTCCACCTGATTACGAATCAAAATGCAAATGCGTTGTCACCCCTGAGGACTAACATGGAATGCCTCGTTTCCAGTAAAAAAGGTCTCCGGACCTCTGCACTCACCATACGAAACACAGCAGCATTAAGCTACTATTTCACGCTGGTATTCTGTGAGAGCGTGGTCCTTCCCCGGTCGAGCCAACCCATTCGTGCTACAACTATAATATAGCTGCAGCGTGGCTCTGCCACGTATAAAATTATTGATGAGCATCTTTCTAATAACAACTGAATATTGGTCGTAATGATGTCGTAAAAGGCGTCAGAGCGAAGCAAGCCGAAAGATGGACAGAAGCGCCTTCTAATAACAAGTAGAAAATACTACATCTAGATACTACATTATTTAATATCAATAACAAATACAGTCAATATTTACGACAGTATATCCGGTTTCAAATTATCGCTTTACCGTCACGGTAAACGACTCTACCTTAAATCAAACCAAATCATACGACAAGTCATTATTTTTCTAAACTTGATCAATAAAACTGGAGTACTCTAATGATACCTCGAACGAGACCACGCTCTCACAGAATACCAGCGTAAAATACAGCTTAATGCTGCTGTGTTTCGTATGGTGAGTGTAGAGGTCCGAGACGCTTTTTAACTGGAAACGAGGCATTCCATCTAATTCTCAGGGCTGACAAAGGACCACAGCATCCAGTCACCATCAGGTGGACTATGTGCTCGTTTGTCACCCTTATTTTATTTTAAAAAACGCGCATTTGGATACAAGCATAGTCCTTGGAGGACCTTAGCACAATAGTCAACGAACTCAGTAAAGTTTTCCAACGATTAGGTTTTAAGAGGGCCTACCCCTACCAGACCAGACCAACCCTACCAGAAACGGGGCCTCTGAGGTAATTTTCGGGGTACTACCCCAAACGCCCAGAAATGTAACTACTGAGAAGGACGGTGATGGGGAAGTGGAAGTGATTTTATTGTAATTTCACGAGAATGTGCACAGTGTGATATTATTAGAAAGGAACCAACATTGCACGATCCTGAAGATAGAGTAAAAAAATTAAGTTTGCCTATTTATTTTCGAGATATTTTTGAAACGTACTTTATTTTCCACAGGAACGACGGTGACGATAAAAAAATTAATTGTTATAACAGTACTTATTTCAAAAATAAATAAAAACAACAATTTTATTTTATACGTAGTATTTTCTCTTCAATTAATGTGCCTTTCTTTACGTCATCGACAGTCAGTCTACAGCAAAGCCCAACTTCTCCACTTCGCGTTTGAGGTGCACAAAACACTTCCTACAACGGGAATCTTTCATTGTAAACTGTTACGAGTTTATTTATGATAAATGGAATAGTTCTCAAACCTAAACCGTGTTTTGTGGCATTCATTGAGATTTTATGTTCGGCATGATTGCTATGTTCAGCAGTGGATTTGTAACCTTTAGACTGTCTGTTGAATTGGGACTTAGTCTTTGAAAGAATGGGAAGTTGTGGTGGGTGCATTGGATTGGGGGCACATTGTCCATGCATCTCTATCTACACGCATTATCAGTGTCACAACAATACATCACCATTTATACTATTTTTGGTGCCGTTACGTGAAATAAATATGTATAAGCATAATCTAAAGAATTTATTTTCAAGAAATGTCTAGTGTGGGGCTACTCTTTCAAGAAAAGCATGAATACACTCTTGAAAATGCCTGTATTTGACAATTGATTGCAAATGGCTTACGAATTGTAGACTGTAGAGCCACGCTCCAGTTGTATTATAGCTGCAGCATGAATGGGACGACTCTACTGAAATTAATGGACGCCCCCTAATGAAGCATTCCATCTCATCATCAGGGGTATCAACGCATCTCTATTTTGATAATTAATGAATACTCTATTTTGATTCTTGGATTTTATGTAGGTTACCAACAAGTGGATTGTGTGCTGTACTGTCGGATAACGTTATGGCGATGTCGATACGGTAAATTAATGTAAAATTTTCTGATGACATTTTAAATGAGTTAATAATTCAATTACAATATATATATATGAAACATGGTAAAGTCACGCTGCAGCGTATACTAGGTGCAAAACAAATGGTTGGTCTCGACCAGGAAATGACCACGGTCGCACAGAGCACCAGCCTGAAGCCTAGCAGTTTAATGCTGCTGTGTTTCCATTCGATATATTATTTACTAGAGCCGTGGTAGCTTAGGGGCTTAGCGCAGACTGTACACAGTACGCGAACAACCCGGGTTCTATCCCCACCGACACCAATGAAATTTTTAATTGGAATTTTAAGTGCTGATTTACCAAGCCGTTCTTAGAAATAAAAAAAATATTTCGAAGACGTGTAAAGTCCAGCCTGAGGAGTCCGCTCCAAACGGGTTTGGCGAGCTTATTTCGGGTGTGTTGGTAAGCTGCGGTGCGAAGGGTGTCCTCTACTCCTACCGCTGCAGCCGAGGTGGAGTCGCGGAGGAAGAGGAGTATTGGCATGGCGATCCACTTCACTTGCCCTATCCACCGCGACTCTGACGGGGCGGTAACGTGCGGTTGTGGTGGAGCTACGGGTGAAGAGGAGTGTAAGCTTTGCGAGTCACCGCTCTACTTACCCTCCAAAGTCAAATTTTGTTTGGCAGCGGAGCCGTGGACTAGATCCGACTAGGGTCGAGAAAGCTAGTGCTTCCAAGTGCTCGTTTTTTCTGGCCCCATGGCCTCCGCGTATAAGACTCGGGGAGTCAGTACATTTTGTAAGCAATTAAGTCTTTTTATTCGTTTTTAAAAAAAATGATTTTGAGTATAATAGGCAAAATCATTTTGTATTTTTAATTAGTAATAACTAATAAAAAATTAATAATAGAGTGAGCAATCGTGGAATTGAATTGAGCAACTTGTGAGCAATCAAGTGCACTTATTCATTAATCTGAACGGTTTAGGCAAAAAATTATAATTAAAAAATTATATTTAATTATTAATAACTGATTAAGTAATTAGTTAATCAAGAAGCATTTTGTGAGCAATTAAGTGTTTTTATTCATTTTAGAATAATTCTTTGGTTTTAAGTATAGTGGGCAAAGACAATTTTGTATTTTTAATTATTAATAACTAATAAAATAATTCATTAATGCATAAATAAAGTGTAAGCAATTGCGGATTTGAATTTAGCGTTTTGTGAGCAATTAAGTGCACTTATTCGTTGATCTGAGTGGTTAAGGCAAAAAAAATTGTACTTTTAATTATAAATTACTAATTTAATAATTAATTAGTAGTTTGAGAAATTGCGGAATTGAATTAAGCATTTTGTGAGCAATTAAAAGTACTTATTCATTTAAGCAAAAACGGTTTTGTATTTTTAACTATTAATAACGAATAAAATAATTAATTTGTGGTCGATAGTAAGACCTCATCGAAGCCAGATGATTGATAAAATGTTTGAAGAACTGTTTTTACCTACTTAAGTCTCAATTGAAACCTATCTTTTTTTCACATTTACGCGTTCACTGTTCATAATTAATGTAATAAGCTAAATAAACCTTAAGTAAAATTGTAATAAAAATATGTTTTCAAAAAGTATTTTTTTTTAAAAAAAATTATTTAGGATGTACTTACGTATTTTTTAACTATAATTTCAAATAACAAAAATAATAATAATTTCCAAATATATCTTGTAACTGATATCTCAAATACTTTACTTAAAAGTAACTCAAAACTTGTATTCCAGATACTTTTCATGAGGTATCTTGTACTTACATCTTTCTTTACTATTAATTGTTTCCATGAGTAGTACGTCCATGTTATTCAACAAACGAAGAGAGCTATGTATGCCAAATGTTCGTTTCCCATATACATTTTAGTACCTACTGGTATTTTTATTTTTATTGTTCTTTAAGTTTTTGAAATGTGACATTGTCCTGTACCTTAAAATATTTTTTTTAAATATATGTGTCATCAAATCTAATATATTCCGATGTATGGATAAATGAAACACATCAACACGGTATAGGGATGTTTTAACAACACAAGAATTCCTTAGAGTAGGTCAATATTTCCTAATTCATGTAATTATATATATATATATATATATATATATATATATATATATATATATATATATATATATATATATATATATATATATAGGTATATATATTATCTTACAAGTTACGTCAACTTATTACTGCTGAACATAAGCCTCTGCCAAGTAATGCCACAAAGCACAGTCCTGACCCACCTGCATCTATCGACTTCCTGGTTCAAGGTTCTCGAGTCGCAGCCTCGTACCGGTAAACGTAGTGTAGGGCGACCCCCCACTAGATGTAGTGACGACCTGGTAAGACATATATATATATATATATATATCATAGATTTAGTATATACTCACATTAGATTGGCAATGTAAAAGAGAAAGAGCATAGCATATATTACGTTAGAACGAGATAGAATGGCTAGACTGTACACGTATACGCTATAGACCTATATCGGGCTGACGTCAATGGT